GCAGTCCAATGAGTCAAACAGACCCAATGTCTCTGCAACTTCCAGCTCTCTTGTGTTCCCTTCAGAGTTGGCACTGTCCCCTGACGTGAAAGGAGACCCAGACACTCACCTCCTTCCTCACCCACAGCACACACAGTGACACTGGACTCCAGTCACACAGCTCTCAGTCAGTCCCTGTGCTCTGAACACTGCCCTGCCCAACCCCTTCCACATCCTGTGCCCCCACACCCTGCCAGACCCTTACTGACCTGCCCCAACCTTCCTCATGGGACCGTCTCATCTCTTCTAGTTACTGACACTACCTGCACCATCCCTCAGTTCCCCCATTCCTGAGACCCATCCCTCAACTCCATCTCAGCCCAGGGTGCTGAGACACATTAGCTAAAGGAGCCTATGTCTGGCTTCTCTGACACAGCACAAGCTCATGGTCTTCTGAGTCCTCGGCCTGAGAACTAGGCCAGGTGAAATGCTCTGTCTCAGGCACATAATGTACCGTTTCCCTAGCTTAGGCAGACAGTGCTGGACTCTGTGTCTATTTTCTGTCCTGTTAGGTGGACAATGATTCAAAGCAGGGAGATCCCCCACTTCTGAGTCCCTGCTCCCCGTCACAGTGCTTGGCCCACAGGACATCCTGAAGGATGGCCCGTTTTAATTGTCAGCTCCACACAATCTAGAATCACCTGGGAAGTGTCTCAATGATGGGTTGTCTAGATCAAGTTGTAATGTGGGCGTGTTTGCAGAGGGTTGTCTTGATCATGCTGATTGATATAGGAAGACACGGCCTAAAAATGAGAGGCACCGTTGCCTGGGTTTGGGTTTCTATATAAAAAGAGAAAGTGGGTGGAATATGCATGCATTCTCTCTGCTCTTGGCTGCAAATGTGATGTGAGCAGCTCTTTAAGTTCCTGCTGCCTCGACCTTCCTGCTATGATGGACCATAACTGGAACTGTGAGCCAAGTGACTGCCCCAAACTACTTTTTGTCAGAGTATTTTTCTCACAGCAACAGAAGTGAATCTAGGGTAGCTGTCCCTTCACATGTGCTAGTGGCTGAAACCTGGGCTTCCAAAGCCTGGGGCCCTACACAGAGGCTAAGTCCCCACTTTGGAACGGGTACTGGGAACAGGCACTGGCACAGTCCCTGGCTCTTGTGATTTTGGGGGAGGGTGGCTCTCTACCATATAAATCTGGACTGGCCAGTGGGATGCACAGACCACTGCCCACTAAGGAAGATGAAACAGCCAGTCACTAGCATCTCCAGCCTCCCTGGTGTCTCCAATCAGATCTAAGGTGTCTTGACACAGACCCTGAGAAGCAAGAGGGGAAGAGAGACTCCCCGGGACAGCAGCAGATGCTTCCTACCAGGAGCAACATACTTGGAGCACTTTCTCCAGCTCCAGAGCAGAGTCCAGTTCCCAACCAAGCTATGTCATATGCCTTCAGAGCACAGAGGCTTTTTCCTCTTGGCTCAGTCTCAGGTTAGCTGTGTTTGAAACTCAGAACCTGAGTGATGAAACTGGTAGTCATCCTTGGTGACAGACACCACAACCCCCTATGGTACCAAAACCCTCAGTTGCTGAAGTGCCTTATGTAAAATGGTGTAGTACTGGCACATGATCTGCACACACCCTCCTGTTGCTCAAACCACCTCTAGATTACTTCTGCTACCTGATGTAATATACATGCTACATAAGTATTCAATACACTCATTTTAAGGAAATAATGACAAGGAAATACAGTCTATCTGTGTTTTAATACAAATACAATTTTTATTTTGTGGGTTTTGTTGTTGTTGTTTGTTTTTGAGTTAGCAAGCATTTTATCACTGTATTGGTTACTTTGCATGGCTGGAGCAAAACACTGGCCAAAAGCAGCTTGGAGAGAAAAGGGTTTATTTGGCTTACAGCTCAGTCTGTCTTTAAGGGAGGCCGAGGCAGGAACCTGGAAGGAAGAGCTGAAGCAGAGACCACGGAGGACGCTGCTCACTGGCTTGCTCAGCTACCTTTCTGATACAGCCCGGGCCCACCTGGCCAGGTATGGCACTGCCCACAGTGGGCTGGGCCCCCCTACATCAACTAGTGTTTAAGAAACGCTCCACAACTGTGTCTACAGGCCAATCTGACGTAGCCATTCCTCAGTCGAGGTTCCCTCTTCTCAGATGTGTCAAATCAGCAACTGAAGCTGACCAGGACACCCACTGAGCTGTCTCCTCACACACAGACCCAATTAGTGGCTCCTAGCGGCAAATCCTTGTAAGTGAGCACATATCCTGATGTAACTTCAGGAACCAGGAAAATGGAAGGAAACCAGGGAAGTAAAGGGAAAGAAGAAACCCGAGAGAGGAGAACAGTAGGAGACAGGCGTTACTAAGGGAGAAATGAGAGAGTAGTCAAAGAGAGTAGTCAAATGGGAGGGGGAGAAGGAGGGCTATACAAGGAGCTATGGGGATAAAGGGGAAGAAGGGGCTCAAGAGATGTGGGACCACAGCAGACAGAAATTATCAAAAAATGGGGAGGGTGGGAGGGAGGATAAGACAGGGAGAGAAAGAGGAGACATAAATAGTGCCCAGCTAGTATGAAAAAACAAAGGGAATCATATTGGTCCAAAACCCTACTGAAAAATATCCATACCTGAGTCTGTGAGTACAGCCGAAGTCTACACAGCAAGAAACTGTGCCAGACAGGAGAAACCTTCCTGTGAGTTGTTGGCCAGGGTGCTCCAAGAGGCTCCCAAAATTACATAGGCTATTGCCACAGTCCTTGATTACCTCCCATAACTTGATGGTAAGACCCTATTGCTGAAGACAAGACATACTTTGGACACAGGACTTCGAGCAACAGAACTGGAACTGACCTGGAAGCCACCTCCCCTGAAGGCTAGCTCTCATAGCCTTGGAGAGCACCATACAAGCTGCCAAAGGAGAGCATCAGTCAGTGGTCCAACCCCAGCTTCAAGGTCTAAACACATCAATGACCAGCAAATGACATTGGTACAATAGTGGCACTTTTATCTTGGGAGTAATCAACAGCTACCTAATTGGACTTAAAGCTCACTCAGTGGGAGGAAAATCATGTGTAGTATTGTAAACCCAGCCAAATACATATAGCTGGGGAGATCCTAGATCCTAGATAAAACTCTAAGGCTGTCACATCCCTAGACAAATGTAATTTCTTATTATGTGCAAAACATGGATCCTTAAATCTATAGACAAGTATCCCAATCACCACCCATCAAAGAAGTTTCTTTTTAAGAGACAGAGATAGTTATAGAGTTCCACAACTGGTCACAGACTGTCTGTGAATTGCCCAGGTCCAAGAGGCACTTCTAGATGCATCCTCTATACCTAAGGCTCACGGAATATAGAACAAGGATGAAGAGAAAACTAGTGCCTCTTTCAATTCTCATCAATGAAGCTCCCTCATGCAACAGAGGGCCAGGAATGCAAAAGGTCACAAATGGTCAAAAAGTAGAGAATAAGAGTCTTCACAGTGTGGGTCCTTTGACAGGACTCCTATATTAAAATCCACCCACCCAGGGCTCAAGGATCAGTGTCGAAGAGGGAGCAGAAAGATTGTAAGAGCCAGGGAGGGGTTGTGTGACCACAATAGTCATATAGGCTCCTGGGACTCTTCTCATACAAACCCACAGCAATGGTGTCAGCATGCACAAGACCCCTGTGAACTCAAGCAGACAAAAATCCAGCACAGAACTGTGGAAATGAACATCAGTCCCAATTTTAGTTGAAGAATTATTGGCAGCTGATTACTGCTGGGTGAGGAAGACCTGATCTTCTTGAAGGGAGAGACTCTAGATAGGCTGACTAGACCTCAGTGGATGGCCTTGCACTGAGGGACATCTGGGGACACTAACTTTACATGATAGGCCTTAACACAAATAACAGAATGTATCAACTCCAGTGGGAAGGGCAGCTATGGGAGGGTGCCAAAAGGGAAGATAGTATAAAGATGATTTTCTATATGAAATACATAAAAATTCAATAAAAATTTTAAAAACAATATTTTTTCTGTTCATGTTGAATCTGCAGATGGGGAGCCTCAGGATACAAAGGGCCAATTGTGCTCCTGGAAAGGATCAGTTACACATGTGGTAGAGACCACAGTTACAAATGAAGTATGATTCTTAAGGTGTGAGTGTAGCGTTCATGTTGAAGTGTCTGAAGAGGTCTTTCTTCTTTGGGTCTCATGTATCCCAGGCTGTCTTCTAACACCAGGTATAGCTCTGGATAACATTGTGACCTTGAACTTACGAACCTAGTGCATCCATTCCTGAGTGCTGAGGTCACAGGTGTGTATCACTACATCCGGTCTACACAGTGCTGGGAATCGTACCCTGTGCTTCATGTATGCCAGGCAAGCACTGAACCAACTGAGCTACATCTGCATCTCTGAGCAATGAGAGTCAGTGCCCTAGTTGATGGTGATGGTCTAAGTATCAGCTTTTTTGAGGTGCTTATGGACCCAAAGACACAGTTACAGGACTCCCTTACTAATTTAGTCTCACCTTGTTACCTGACTTCTCTAAAGGCTCACAGAAAGCAGTTCTTGGTGGTGGTTGTTTTTAAATAGATAAAGTGCAAGGTCACCTTCTCAATGTATCTAATTTTGTAATTAACCATCAGGAATAAAAGCACAATTGTGGCTCTGGCCCACCAACATCACACCACCTGATCTTGGAGGGTGGCAGTACTCTATAGGGCAGACAATGCTGGGTTCCTGGTGTGACTCCATGGTCAAATACATTGACTGGTGGCAGGAATTGGTTGTTCGCATACTGAATCCTCCCTGAGTGGATAAACCATGCTCTCCCAGGAGTATAGAAAGTACATGCAGACATCTATACCCATCAGCCCCCTCCTCGCATGTGCTAGTAACAGACCAGCTTCCATTCATCCTTATCACACTCAAGAGCTGCGGAATTCTCCATCTGGAACCCACACCATCTGGCAGCAGCACCTAAGGGAAGAGGAAAGCCAGCTCTTACCTGCCTGCGCAGCTGTGATCAGAGCTGTGTTCCCTTCGCTGTCCTGCCAGTTGACATCAACGTGGGGGCAGTCCGCTAAGGCCACCACAGTGTCCACAAAGCCATGGTAGCAGGCGACGATAAGGCCAGTCTAGAAATGAAGAGGGGAAGTGGGTCAGAAGGGCCCAGTAGAGTTGACCTCCAGAAGACTGGACAAGAGGTAACAGGGGCCTCAAGTCCTCAGCTTTCAGCAAGACTTTAGACTTCTAGGTCCACCATTGACTTATCCTCAGATAAGCAGAATCTGTCTGCACGAGGCACAACGCCGGGGCCCGTCAGCAAACAGCAAGCTCTCTGCCCTCTGGGGCTTTGCCCGCTGGTAAGAGGGAAACATACGCTACCACGTCATAAGTATGATGGCATGCTAGAGAGCAGCAGGGGCATGGCAGAGAGTGAGGACAGGATGTGGGGTTGGAGCAGGCGCACAAGGAGTGTCGGGGCCCAGATTTGAAGGAGTGATGAAACAAGCCTGGGGAATATGGAGGAGAAAGAACGCAAGCAGGAAAAGAGCTAAACCAGGCCTGGGCCTGCCTATCCATGGGATAATCAGATGGCCTGGAGCACTGGGGCCAAGCAAACCAAGAGAGGAGGAACCCAAGATCACAGGGCAGCCAAGAGCACTGGGACATTCCCGGCAATTGCTTATCAGCTTTCTGTATCAATTCTGACTGCTGGGTAGAGAAAGGCTCCAAGAGACCAGAGGGCATGTGGAAGCTGGGCAGGTAATAGTGGTTGAGGGTAGGGCTGTGGGTAGGGGATGTGTGTGGATTCTGATACCTCATGAAGGTAGATTTGCTGCTAGGATAGATGTGGAGGGAGAGGAACACAAATGTCCAGATGACCCTGACTCTCAAACAACTGAATGACTGGGCCACCATCAGTTAAGAAGGAAGAGATTCCAGGCACAGTAGGTGTTTAAAAAGGCAGCATGCTTTTAGACCTCAGCATGCTGCATCTGAGGCGAGACATCCGGTGGAGATGAGGGCATCATGTAGGGTCTGGGAGAGGTCTAAGCAGGATAAATCAACAGCTTGGTGGTTGATTCTGGACATCTACTGTGCTGGATAGCTTTAGTGTCAACTTGACACACCTGGGTTGAGGGAGCCTCAATTGGGAAATTTCCTCCATTGGACTGGCCTGTGTCCACGTCTGTGGGGCATCTCCTTGATTGTTGAGTGATGTGGGAGGGCCCAGCCCACTGTGGATGGTGCCACCCCTAGACAGGTGGGCCTGTGTTGCATAAGAAAATAGGCTGAGCAGGGGCCAGGGGAGCAAGCCAGTAAGCAGTGTTCCTTCATGGCTCCCGCCTCCATGTTCCTGCCCTGAGTTCCTACCTTGGGCTCCCTGATGAACTGTGACACAGGAAATGTAAGAGAAAATAAACCATTCCTCCCCAAGTTGGTACTGGTTGTTTTGTCACAGCAATTGAGAGACAACCTAGAACATCTATTGATTAAATATTAGCCAAATCATCAAGAACACATAATATTAAGAACATTTATACACTGCCGGGGGGTGCTGCCACTATGGAAATTGGTGCAGAAGCTCCTCAAGAAAATAAAAAATAGAGCTACCATGTGACCCAGCTATACCACTCCTGAGTACATGCCACAATGACTCTAAGTCAGCATACCACAAAGATACCTGCACATTCATGTTTATAGCAACACTGTTTATAATAGCCAAGATATGGAATCACTCTAGATACCCATTAACAGATGAATGGCTAGAATGTGTGGTACAGACTCAGTTGTTAAGAGCACTTGCTGCTGTTGCAGAAGACCCAGGTTTGGTTCCCAGCACCGCATAACTCCCTGTAACTCCAGTTCCAGGAGATCTGATGCCCTCTTCTGGCCTCTGTGGGCTCCTGCATGCACATGATGTACATAAACTCATGTAGGCACACATACATACTCATAAATAAAAATCAATAAATAAACCCTTAAAAAGAAAATGTAGTACATATACACAATGGAATTTTATTCAATCACAAGAGGAACAAAATGATGTCATTTGAAGGAAAATGGGTAGAACTAGAGATTACCAAGTTAAATGAAGTAAGCTAGATTCAGAAAGACAAATGTGGCGTGTGTTCTCTCATATGCAGAATCTAGGTTTTACACACACACACACACACACACACACACACACACCGCCACATTAAAGTAGAAGGGGAGGGGACTATGTAGGGGGAGGAAGGACCCTAAAGGAAGGGACGGGGATGCAAGAAAAGAAAGTAACAGGAAAAGACAAATGTTGCGTGTTTTTTCACATGAAGAATCCATATGTAGATTATATAATATTACACATATTATATATAATGTCAGTCGTAAATGCAGAAGGGGGGCTACTCGTGGTGCAGGAAGGAGCGAGTGGGAGGGGAACAGGGACCAAGAGCTGGCGATGGGGGGACAAGTACAAGCAAGCACAGTGACACACACGGATGAAAATAACCCATCATTTTGTAAATTAACTTTAAAAAGTTAATTATGAAAAAGCAGGAGAAGCCCGGTGTGTCACTTGGTTTTGTCACCTTGACACAATCTAGAATCTCCTCGGAAGAGGGAACCTCTATTGAAGAATTTTCCAGATCAGACTGGCCTGTGGCCATGTCTGTGAGGCATTTTCTTAATTGCTAGTTGATATAGGAAGGTCCAGACACTGTGGGCAGTGCCATCCCTGGGAATTTGGGCCTGGGCTGTATAAGAAGTAACTGAGCAAGTCAGAGGGAGCAAGTCAGTAAGCAGCATCCCTCCATGGTCTCTGCTTCAGTTCCTGCCTCCAGGTTCCTGCCTTGATATCCTGCCCTGACTTCCCTCATGATGAACTGTGACCTGGAAGTATAAGAAGAGATAAACCCTTTCTTCCCCTGTTTTGGTCAGTATTTTATCACAACAACATAAAAATAATACATGGGCATTACGGTGCATGACTATAACCCCAGCAATCACGTATCAGAGGCAGGAGGATCACCAGCCAATCAGAGTTCAAGGCCAGCCTGATCTCCATAGTAAGTGCCAGGCTAGCCAGGGCTATATAGGGAGACCCTGACCAAGAAGAAGAAAGCTTGTGCTAGAGCTTGAGAATTCTTATTCTCACCCCCCACATCCTCCCTTCCCTTCATGATTCTAGAACGCGAAGGAAATGAGTGAACTGAATGTATGCTCTGTAAGTTCCACAGAACCACGTCTGACTTGTTCCCTGCTGTATCCCTGGGTCTCAGAACAGGGCCAAACAGTAAGTTCTCAATAAATAGCAATTGAAGAAAGCCTAAAAAAACACATAATATTAATATCACAGATTGCCAAGAAACCCATCATGGCTGACGTGGACGCCATGATCATTAGGGTTAAACTGTCCCTGTGGCCTCTGGACTAGCAGGGAGGGCCACGTGGACAGGCTCCAGAACCTTGCTGAGTAGCAGACAGCAGGGTACGCCACAGGAGCCCGGGTCACTGGCCTTGGGCAGAATGAGGAGGCAGGACACTGTGACAAGTTGGCTCTTCCATGACAGCATGTGAGAAGGACGAGGTCGACTGAGTTCTGTCATTCTGCGGTGCACTTCCATTAGTAATGGCAAGAGAGAGCACCATGACACCCCTGCAGGCAGCCAGACACAGGTGTCCTGTCCCCACATGCTCCATCCCAGAGACCCTAGGAACAGTCTTGGCTCACTTTCACAGCCTCAAAGCTGTGGCCTGTAGGATTTGCCTGAGGTCACTTGGAAAGGAACACAGGGTGCTGTGTACAAAGCTGGGTGCTGGCATTGACCCTGGTGTCTCACAACAACCATCAGAGACCAAGGGCAGCTACGTGTACCATGTGCTAACCAACCAATCTTCTGCATGGGCAGGTCCACCTGAGGCCCACTCTGGCCTTTCTCCATCTCCAGTTCCCACTGGGCCTGAAGCATCACCCTCTCTATGCAGGGTCCTTCAGAACTTTTGGTGAGCCAAAAGCAGCACAGCCATGGACCCACCAGGGCCTTGGCCTATAGACAATCTAACCTATGGTCAAAGGAACCGAACCTATTGAGGCCTCCCTGGAAGGATGCTCTTATGGAATGGACCCTTCCCCTAAAGATACATTAAAGTCCTAATGGCTAGCTCCTCAGAATGAGACTGTATGTGGAGACAAAGTCTTATACATGCTATTAGTTAAAATAACATCAAATGGGAGTAACCCTTAATCCACTATGATTGATGTCCTTATAGAGAGGAAAAAGACCCTGGGAAGAGGTCAGGTGGCAACATAGGCAAAGAATGGAGTCTTCTAGCCAAGAACACCAAGGGCTTCTAGAAGCCACCAGGACTGGAAAAGGCAGGAAGGCTTCAGGGCACAGCCTCTACCAACACCACTGTTCCAGCTGCTTCCCGAACTGCAAGACAAAAGCGCTCTGCTGTTTAGAGCTAGTAAGGCCAAAACCGAGCTGAGAAAGGTGAAGTATTCAAGTGCATATCAGCTTTCTTCCGGGACTGTGAGCGGCGAGCACCTTGATCCAGGACAACCTCCTATAAGCTGACTTTTGCGACTTCAATTACAGGACAAATGTCGATGAGAGTTCTAGTACAATCTGTTTGTGGACCTGTGTTCATCCTTTCAAATTTACTTAGCATGATTATTTCTCAAGGAATTATACCTTGCCACCCCTTGCAGTTCTGGTAGGAACAAGTTGTCCCCAGTTCCTGGGTGCTAAGCCAATCACCACCTCACCCAGGAACACAACGACTGGTTCAGGAAGAGGCATGTGACCCATGGGCCCTCCAGAGACGTGAGACATTGAGCAGACGCTGTGAAAAGCGAAGAGCCTGGGCTCTGGCTGCTGCTGTGGGAATTAGGGAGCCACCGGGTCTGACTGCCACTGTGCTCCCTGAACAAGGAAGCCGTTCCTGACGCCTGAGGAGGCAGCTTCCACCAAGGAAGGTGGCGTGGAAAGGCAGAGTCCAGTCTTCCAGGTGCGGGTGAGCAGGGCAGTAGTTCAGGAGGCAGTCACTTCGCCAGTTTGCACTGGGCTTGGTGGCAGTTGCAATGGAAAGGTTCCTAACTCATTCATGCACTCAGCTGATCATCATGATGTCAGAGGCACCATTA